ATGGGGTCCCGACCCACAGGTTGAGAACCACTGCTCTAAGGTATATTAGGAGGGCTAGACCCTTTAGGGATTGTTTCTTTATAGCAGTAAAAGGGTTTATGCATCCTAATGACACTGTGACTTAGATCAATGGGAGTGAAATAGAATTATAATTAAAATTGATAAGAGAAATCTCAACAGCTTCAAATATGCTGATCTTACTATTCTGATGTCTGGAACGCAGAAAAAAAAGTCATTTGTTGAAGGGGAAAAAAGGGAAAAGCTAGTCTGCTGCTTAGTATTAAAAACAGAAAACAAAAAACCTTTAGTTTATGGCAACAGGCAATGAAAGCCAAAGAAATAGGAGGAGAAGAAATGGAACGTTTTATCTTCCTAGGTTCAAAAATTCCCAGGGATGGTGACTAAAGTTATGAAATAAGGAGATGTCAGCTACCTGAGAGAAAGATTATGACAGATATAGACAAAGTAATAAAATGCATGTGTGTATTATCAGGCCCATGTTTTATTTTCCATATCTGTAACATATGGCTGTAATAGATGGACCAACAGGAAGTCTGAAAAAAGAAAAACAATGCCTTTGAATTGTGGAGCTGCCAAAAAAGTGTTGAAAAGATTTTAGACTTCAAGAAAAACAAATAATTTAATACTAGTAGATTCCTCATTGCAAGCACTAACAATGAAACTAAAAGTTTGGGTATTTTGCTTTCACAATAGGAAAGCAAGAGTAACTGAAGAAAATCCTATTGCTTTGAAAAATGGAAGACAGTCAAAACAGAGACCAACAGAAGAGAAGATAGCTAGATACCATCAGTGATGACATAGGCATGAGTTTCCAAGGACTCAAGAACATCACTGACAGATAATACTAGTAAAATGATATGCACCGAGTGCTAAAAACCTAGATAGGATTGAGCAATAAGTAATTGCTACTAAAGGCATTGCTCTTTTGGTTTGCCGTGTTTTGTAATGCTATCTTTGGGTGAAGAAGCCAAGTGTCAGTCACTTCCTTAGCCTTAATAATTATGTTTTTATCTGCTTTGTGAAAACAAAGCAGACATTTTTGTGGATTCTCAACCCACAAATAATTGAATTATTGGCAAGAGAGCACACAGATGTAAAAGAGTGAGCCATCGATCACCAGAAGGAACTGCTACACCCCTTGTTGGTCTGCAATAGATCTGAGAACATTGCTCCTGAAAATCCTTGATTATTGAATATTTTGGATTCTTGAGAAAAAAGAATACTGTCACTCCCACATGAAGGGATGACTGCAGAGACAGTCAGATGTCTCTGGATGATGGCAGTTGTGACTGGATGATGGAAACCTCACCACTTTTAAAACGTGTGTATCATGTCCACAGATATCCCCTTTCAGTAAATAAATCCTGCCAAGCAAATTATTCTGACAGAAGAAAAGAGATTTTTCTCAGTATTGAGAAAGCAGAACATAAAATGAAAGTCAGAGACTAATGTTAATCAACAATATACATTCTTTTAGAGTTATACCTGAACCCTTTGGGAAGGGACTTGTTTTATCTAACTAAGTAAATATTTGTTCATTTCTACTTTTCTCATTTTTCCCCTTTTGAAGAGAAAACAAGAAGAGAACAACTGATATTTGTTCAGGAGAGGCATGTTGTACTTCCTGATTTAGCAAATTAGTCCAATGTTCAGGGAGCACACAACACACTTTGAACCATAAATTAATCCCAGAGGCTTCATGGCACAATATCCTAGGCTCAGATGTGGCTCTCTTCTTTCTGTTTTCAAGATGTCCCATACACACAAAACCATCACCTAAACAGTGGGACAGTTCTATGACCTCTGAATGAATCTAAGCAAGACATTGACCTGATATGGTTTTGGCTATTTTTTCTTATGGCAAGTACAGATAATTTTGCAGACAGAGCAGCTGACTTTATTTATACAAATAAGGATGAGTGTTAGTCAAGTTATTTTATGAAGTTCAGACTCTAGTTGGGGAAGAATATTAAATTTAGCTGTTAAATATTATCCTCTTGAAGGTACATCCTTTGCTTCAAAGATATGCAAATACTTGAACCCTGTGGAAGAATGGAAGAGATGCTGTAATGCTCACTAGTTGTGATGATCCTTCCTCTATGAAAAGGATATGTTTCTCTCCCAGTGCATATGGTAGTATTTTGCACATTAGCCTTCTTGAGAAAGTTATAAAACAGTTACTTTTTGTTGTTGTATTGTTCACAGACTTCATATGTGTCTTGTAACAGCCATAATGTAATGTTTTCTTCTTTCTTTTAATACTTGGACTTAAAAATATATGTCCTCTCTTCCAGATGTGGCAAATTGATAGCATTTGAAGGAGAGAGCCTAATCTACAGGTAACAAAGCTTCAAATAAAGCCACCTGTAACTCGCAGAGAAAGGTTGACTGAGGGTGGAGCCACTGGATATAATATCCCTACAAATTTACTAATCTTAGCTGCTGCAAAATGAAGATTATAGTCATTCTGATTTCTGGATCAGATAAATACCATGTTAGTTTACCGTGTGGTGTGTGGTCCTAAAGGAAGGGATGTTTAAACTTGTACTGTTGATTAGATTTTTTTTCCCCCTCAAAAACCAGATAGCATGTTAAATTTCAAAAATGCTATTATCGGGCTACATTGGTATTAAATACTTGTGATTTAGTAAATAGCCAGTCTGGGAGACAGGTCTTATGCACAACAAATACCATAAAGGACAGAAATGGGGGAATTTTAATCACAGAGCAGGGGGTGAGGAAATGTGGTATCCTCCACCAACTTTCTTGAGGTCCAACCATCATAACTTATGTTAACTCATTGTGGGAACTGTGTCCCAATACATCTAGAGCAGTGGTTCTCAACCTTTCTAATGCCACGACCCCATAATACAGTTCCCCATGTTGTGGTGACCCCCAACCACTTATACATCACTGGGTGCCAGGGGCGTGGCCAAAGAAAAGGGGGGGGAAATGGCGGACAGCCTTGTTTGGTGACCCTCGTGAAATGGTCGTTTGACCCCAAATGGGGTCCCAACCCACAGGTTGAGAACCACTGATCTAGAGCACAGGACAGTTCTCAAATAACAGAAAGAAATCATGAACAGAGGTTAATGTAAGCCTAAAATTCATGTGAGTTCCATATTACTGTCTTCTCTATGCATTTGTTTACTGGGAAGGGGAAAGCAAAATACCTTGATGTTCTCCTTCCTCAATCTCTTTGTTTCCACTGAGGCCAACTGTTCGTTGCTACTATCTCTTACTCATAATGTGATAGAGGGTAAATTAGCAAACAGAGATGAAACCTGAACAGCAAAGTAGAAGGTACTCAGTAGTAGATTGCTTACTAGGAGAGAAATATACCTTGGCAAGCTTTGATGCCAGCCATACAGTAAGATAATGTCTATTTTGGTCAGTGACCAGATAAAACAAAACATTTATAACTAAATAAAGCAAAGAGAGAGGAAAAACAAGCCAATCCATCCATGTAACCAAACAAAAGTGAATCAGGTATGAGGATGTCAGCCATATATAATGTCAGTTGTTTGTATGCATTCACAACAGCTGTACAAAACTTTGCTACGTTATGGGCGATAACATTTTTCTTGTCTGATGAGATGAAATTGACATGAAGTTCCTTAGGATAATTTGGTGCCTATAGCACCATAAAGTAGGGAGGACATAATCTCAGAATTTTCAGTTTTAATTTAAAAATAAATAAATTAACAGTTCTTTAACCCTTCTAGAACTCAAGGTGTGTGGCAAAATAATGTGGCTATACTATCCTATCTATTTTTAGAATCCAGTTCCTTCTTTTCAAAATTTTTAACCTATGTATAATACTGTACTGCCTGGAGAAGATTTTTTTGAAAAACAAACCTACAATGACAAGGATCTATTAACTATTTATGTACACCTGGATGGATGTAGATGATTGGAACCCGGGTACCTCTTAAATATTGTATTTCGTTGTTGCATTTTTCCTTACCATTGTTGTTAGTTGCCCAGAATTGTGTTTCACAAGATGTATAAAATAAAATTTAAAAATGCAGTCTTTTGCTTAATTAAGCAGCCTACATTTATTCTCCCCTCCCCCTCCCCCCCAAAAAAATGTAGGAAGAAAGACAGGAGCTAGCAATATTTTTTAAAGTTATATTTCCTGAGTTTCTGAATATATATATATATTTAATCCTGCCTGTGCAAGCAAACAGTGCCCCAGAGTTAACTGCTTGTTTCAAAATAAATTACATCAGCAGAGAGACTCTTGGTTATGGTTAATATTGTTTATCTAGGTGTGTCTGTGCAAAGAGTGATTTATACCGAACTGCTGAATTACCTGAATTGTTACTCAGCTTCCTGGTGAATGTGTAATATGAGGGGAAGAGGACTAAAATTGATTGCAGGACAATGCAATTAGTTAAAAACAGGGGTAGAAGGGGATCCAGTTTCTGTACATGCAGTGTTGACAAAAGGAAGAATTTACAGTTTTGCTCATCTCCTTCATGTGACCACTCCTTTTTGGACTGACAGACTGATTACAATGTCAGGATGGCACATAGCTTCCCAGATATCAATATTTCTCCATGAATTGTAAACAATAGAGCTTCCATATTTTGACTTTGAAAAAAGAAAACAGCATGGTGAAATCTTTATTGTCAGGCACATGCATATAGGTTGATTTATTGTTGCCCCTTCCTACAGGCACACTGCAAATGCTTATTATTCCACTTTTCATCACTTCCCCTGTAGCTAACAAAACAGGTTTCAAAAGTCACTGCTACATTTAAATCTGGTACTTTTAATCTATTACTTGTAATAAAACTAAAAGCCTCTGCCTCCTAAGCAGGATTGTGACATAACATCAGATCTCTTGGCAACTTGAGTGTTTGCTACATAGAATAACAGTCTTTGCTACTAAAATCTGGAGAGAGAGAGAGAGAGAGAGAGGGAGGGAGGGAGGGAGGGAGGGAAGGAAGGAAGGAAAGGAAGGAAGGAAGGAAGAAAGAAAGAAAGAAAGAAAGAAAGAAAGAAAGAAAGAAAGAAAGAAAGAAAGAAAGAAAGAAAGAAAGAAAGAGTTGTTTTGCATTTGATTCCCCTAGAACATTAGGATCTTTATCTATGGAACTCTGGGATATGTGAATTTTATTTTATCCTCCCTCCAAAGCATTCTTCTTTTAAAACTTTGCTGTAGGAACATTTTATATAGATAGGATTTGTTTGTTTGTTTATCAATTTCTATAGTCTCCCATCTTAAGCAATTCTGAGCAGCATAACAACTTGTTGTTGTTTTCCTCCTACAGGTTTTGAAACTTTTGCATCCAGGAGAACCAACAGCAGCGCCAAACGTCTCTCATCGCATGAGCCCACCCAATAAGTTATCTTGATGCTGCACAAAATGCCTCACAAGAATATATTACTGAGAGCTAGCGTCATTTGAGAACCACAGCAAAATCTTGTCAACAAACCACCCCTCCCTTTGCACCTGAAATAACTGAGCTCCTGGATAGAATTCCACGTGGGTTCTTCCTTCATTAGTCTACACTCAAACACCCGTTTGCCTGAAGCCATGTTTAAGAAGATATTTATGAAATCGCATTGACAGGCATGCACGAAACAATTGGTACATCCAGAACTGCAACATTCCCAAGCTAAGAGTAGAGATTTTTCAAATGGCAATCCTGTCTGTCTGGGAGAGTCTTGGTTTTTGCTTGCTTTTCTTAGTTGACTGAAATAAACTGCTGAGGTGGGAGAGCTTGAGCATTCAAGACCAAGATGACAAGTGGTGAGTTGGTGCCCATTTTAGTAGATCTTGTGACATTTTAGGATGCCTGCTGTCTCATTGCATTTGGGAAGTGTCTAAACTGGGCTGTAAAGGAATGCAAAGTATTTTATTAGCATAGTGTGAAATACCATACCCAAAGAACCTGTTTATGCAGAATTATTATTATTATTATTAATAATAATAATAAAGACCTACAAATAGAAATAGAAAAACTGTGGCAAAAGCAAGCAAGGGTAGTACCAATAGTAATAGGCTCCTTGGGTGCAATCCCAAACTGGAACACCACTTGAACACCATTGGCATTGACAAATTCGCTATTAGTCAATTGCAAAAGGCAGCCTTACTAGGAACTGCTTCCATCCTGCGACGATATCTGTAATACCATCAAACATCCACATCTGCCTATCCCAGGTCCTGGGTAAGGACTCGATAGGTAGACAAAATGCCAAATTCAGTCTGAACATCTGGCTGACTGTGCGATGATCCATAGTAATAATAATAATAATAATAATAATAATAATAATAATAATAATAATAATAATAATAATAATAATAATAAAGTTGGAAGGGACCTTGGAGGTCATCTAGTCCAACCACCTGCTCAGGCAGGAAACCCTATACCATTTCAGACAAATGGCTGTCCAGTCTCTTCTTAAAAACTTCTAGTGTTGGAGCATTCCCCACTTCTGGAGGCAGGTTGTTCCACTGGTTAATTGTTCTAACTATCAGGAAGTTTCTCCTTAGTTCTAGGTTGCTTCTCTCCTTGATTAGTTTCCATCTGTTGCTTCTTGTCCTGCCTTCAGGCGCTTTGGAAAATAGCTTGACTCTCTTCTTTGTGGCAGCCCCTGAGATATTGGAACACTGCTATCATGTCCCCCCTTGTCCTTCTCTTCATTAAACTAGACATACCCAATTCCAGCAGCCTTTCCTTATATGCTTTAGCCTCCAGTCCCCAAATCATCTTTGTTGCTCTTCTCTGTACTCTTTCTATAGTCTCAACATCTTTTTTACATTGTGGTGATCAAAACTGGATGCAGTATTCCAAGTGTGGCCTTATCAAGGCATTGTAAAGTGGTATTAATAGTTCACGTGATCTTGATTCTATCCCTCTGTTAATGCAGCCCAGCATTAACACTGGCCTTTTTGGCAGCTGCAGCACACTGCTGGCTCATATTTAAGTGATTGTTCACTAGGACTCCGAGGTCCCTCTCACAGTTACTACTATTGAGCAAGGTACCCCCTATACTATACCTGTATATTTGGTTTTTCTTGCCTAAATGTAGAACCTTACTTTTTTCACCATTGAATTTCAATTTAGTCAGAAGGAATATGTTATAAGAACACCAAAAAAAAAATAATAATAATAATCCCAGAACATACCTAATCATAATGTTAAAGGGCCCCAGATCTGGGCTACAAAACCCTGGACAGCTACTAGATGACAGCAAAGGGTTTTCTCTATCTATTTGATGCCTAATTCTTATTTTTCTGAGGATCTCTGAATCTAGTCCTTTGTCCTACTTTGCCTAGCCTTCCTTCAAGAAAAGGAGCTCAAGAGATAAGATAGCTGAAAAAGCAAGTCTGTTTGTTACAGAATTTACTGCCAAGGCTGGCTTCCTAGAAAATACCTGCCAAGCCATGCCTACTTCTAGCTGGATTGGTCAATGGGGAAGGGAGTTGTGAAGTTAAGAAGCCTGGTCAATTCTTTTCTCATGCAAAGGCTCATAGGTTGTTAGTAACATTCTGGAGAGCGTGACTCGGCACACTTAGTTTGTCAACATTGTGGTTTTTGATCCATTTAGTGGGATTGTGTACTATCATAATCCTCTGTATATAGGTAATGGTTGACTGGATAAAGCACTTGTGGGAACACGCTCACCCTTAGCAAGTTTTTTGCTTTGCTTCGGTTTTACAAAAATGCAGATGATATTAGACGACAGCGAGACGATAGCAAGAAGCTAGAGTTACTATATCCTTCTGCTACCATCTAATGGTTGTCCAGAATTTTGCATCTAAGTTTAATTGTAGCTTTCATGGCTCATACTGAGGAAAGATGTTACCTTTTGGTTTTTTTTAAAAAAAAAAACCAATTAATTACATCTTTAATAATGAAAAAAAGGATCAAGGAAAAACTTTGAAGAAACTTCCAATCACAACAGGATACTTGGTAGAAAACATATGGTCCTTAGAAAACACTTTAATTAACTTTTGTTCAGCAGTTAAGCAATAAACTAATATATCTGAGTTTGGTCTAATGGGTTGTGAAACATTGGCGGAATATATAACCAGCATACCTAGGAAGTATAGCAAGTGGTAGGTACTTCAATAGTCTTTAGCAGGATTGTCTAACCTTGGCAACTTTAAGACTTGTGGACTTCAACTTCCAGAATCCCCTAGTCAGCCATGCTGGTTGGGGAATTCTGGGAGTTGAAGTCTACAAGTTTTAAAGTTGTCTAAGTTGGGTAGCTCTGGTCTATAGAATTTATCCTGGCCAAGTGCAATGTATAAACTCAAAGCTGGTAGTTTAACCAACAAACCATGGTGGTAAAAATTGTGGTTTGGTGCAATAGGCTACCTTGTACGAGGATTTATGCTGCATGAATAAAACTACCATTCAAAATTTCCCTTTCAGTTTGCCTGGTTGCCCTCCACAAACCTCATAATCACTGTTTTCCTAACCACATCCCTTTCCCTGAGTCTTCTGAAGTTTCTTCGCTTATTGTACTTCTTTTCTGGCTCAGCTTCATTACCAGCTTTGGATTTTTGAAGAAAAAAAGAATAGTACGAAGTGATCCAGAGCTGTCCAGGTGTTTATTCAAAAGCTGCTGAGAAAATTATTCCCAAGATTTTTCTATCCTGTTTGTCTATCCTCTTCCTCAAGATGGTACCTGTCTCTTTCACATGTGCAGCACACATATAAAAATAGGCAGAGCACCTGACATCCTGTCTTTTTGGAACATCCCTGAATACTAGTTTTCTAAATCATGCATGGACATGGAAATAATTGCTGTTTTCCAGTTGTTGTTAATGACAGGTGATTTATTTATACCTCTGCTTCTTTAAATCTCATCATTATACAGCCATAGCATTTAGGCTTCTACATCACCCCATAGTGGTATAGAAGCCTAGGTGGTTTACAATGTAATCTTTATTTGCATATTGACCCCAACAATCTGGGTCCTTATTTTTACTGAGGACTTTTTTGTCTAGCAATTTGTTAAAGGTAAGGAAGAGAAGCTGACCCACAACCAGCAAATGATGAAATAGGCAGTGCTCATGGGTTCAGCTATCTACTCCAGACCTTTCAAAAATGAATCTAGCTGTTTAGCACATCTGCCCTTTTTATAGGCCCTCTGAAGGTGTAAATGTGCCGAGTCATAAAGAGATACTTATGAAAAGTTCACAAATATGTAGCTCTAGAAAACTAGTGTTTTTGCACATCCAAATCTTTATCTGGGAGCATTAAAAATAATCCAGAAATCATGTTTGTTACTGATCTCATAACAGAGTTTGGACATGCAAATAGTCACACTGGAATTCTTCAAATGACACACATGGATTTCCCTTTTACTCTTATTTACGAAAGATATATTTTAAAAGAAATGTTTCTTGAAGAGGTTGAGCAGCCTAGGACTGTCCTGGCCTGGAATAGCTGTGAATAAATCTTCTGATATTGTTGACATTCCTATGAATGCAACAGAGAAATAATTTCATTTAATTTAATAGAGCTTATTTCCCTGCTCATGGATTGCCATTTGGCATATAGGTTGGAATTTCAATGAAAGAGCCTCCTTTAACCATTAACTCAGTGTCATTTTCACAGGCTAAATCACCTTTATAGATACAATAAGGTAGTCCTCGTTTAGCAACTACAATTATGACCAGCAACTCAGTCACTGAGTATTTCACTGTGGAAAAATCACATGACCATGCCTAGAATTTTACTTCATCTTTCCTTTGTTTTACAGCATCAGAAAGGTACAATTCCAAACAGTCAGGTGAGGGATGGTTTCTAGAATTTGACTCATGAGGAAACTAAGTAAAAGGGCAAATCATATTACCCATTTTTCCCACTCCCCCACCCCTTGGAATGCTTACCCTGGAGGAGGGATAATTAACAAGAAGGGAAATAGAGAGAAAGGGATTACAAGATTACAAGAAAGTAAGCAGGCACACAGTGGGGAATACACATGGAAACGAATGTGCTAACACCTGCTGTTTTCCTAACAAGTTGGTGGCTGTGAGCCTGAAGTCCTTCAGGACAGTATTTCTTAACCCTGCTGCCAGGGAATTATGGGAGTTGAAGTCCATATGTCTTAAAATTGCCAACATTGAGAAACACTGCTTTAGGAAGCAAACAAAAGCCTTTAGTTTGAAACTGGTTAGTGTCTTGTCAGTTTCAGGCAGCAGCTGCAGCTGGGAGAGTTCTAATCAACTAATTAAGATCATAGAGTTGAGCTTACTAACTTGTGGTTAGCATTTTTAGAGAGGAAAAGTGGCTCAGGAAAAGCGAGCTTGTTTGGGGTCACACAGGACAACACCTACTGATTGTAATGACAAGTACATGACTAAAAGACAGACCCTGCAAAGGTTATAAATGCAGATATTGGGTGCAAAGGTACATTTTCATCACAGTCATAACTGTGAACAGTGGCTGTCAAAGGCAGTTACTAAATGAAGGCTACCTTTATTAATAATTGTCCTTCTGTGAGTTTACTCATTTTCTCTCTTAATTCCTTCTCCAATACTTAGGAGGGAGAGAGGATGCTTCCAGGGGTTTTAAAAGATTTCCTGAATATGGCCTGCAGATTGTGCTTTTTGCATCCCTAATCTGCAAATGAGGAAGGAGTGTGGCAAAAATCACATGGGAAAATTCAGTAAAGTACCACTTTCTCAATGCCACCTCTAAGAAGGTTTTCTGCATTTATAATAAGCATCTTTGCTGTTTTCAGGTCTAATGTTTACAAATGATTAGAAAATAGGAATATCTTAAAACTGATGTAACCATCTGAGCCATAGTAAACAGCCCAACCAAAGAATCCCAAAGACCTCCCCCATCCACCCAGACAGGCAAGACACCGGAATATAAACTGCTATATAAACTGCTAGCAAACAGCACTCCTTACTAGCACTGATGATGTTACCTAGTTAGGGCAGGGCTTTTCAACCAGTGATACGGGTACCACCTGTGGTACGTTGGCCCCCTGCTGAGCCCTGAAGAAGCACCAATCAGCTGGAAAGCAGCACTGATCCTGGTGCTTCTGCTGAACCCAGAAAAAGTGCCGATCAGCTGGAATGTTGCAGCATCTCCAGGGTCTTGTGATTTACATTCAGATGCTTGGCAACTGATTCATATTTATGACAGTCAGTGTCCCAGGGTCATGTGAAGTGACCAAACCCTGCTGCAACTACCAGCAGACAGGGGAATAAAAACCAAACACCCCCCCACTCCACCCCGCTGCCAATCCTCAACAGAAATGCTCACAACAATGAAAACCGGACAGGAGGAAGAGCGCAGCCGGGTGGGCAGGCAGGTGTCTTGCTCGGCTGTGTCTTGGGGGGAACTTTTTTCAGTGCCATTGTCACTCTGAACAGTCACTAAGCAAACTGTTTTAAGTCGAGGATTACCTGTACTTTATCACTTTTTTCCTTTTTTTTTTTTTGCTAGGCGACTGGTGGTACTCGGATATTGCCATATCCTAAAAGTGGTACAATGGGTGAAAAGGTTGAAAAGCCCTGAGTTAGGGTAACGAAATGTCTGCAAGAAAACAAGCAAGCTCAGAGAGCACCAAGGACCCCTGATATAATCATCGGCTGGACCATAAAGTAGTTTAGCTGACTAAATAAAATTGGACTTCCATCTCTATATGTCCCTCTTTTCAGTGATCAAAAGAAGTGTCAATCTCATCCAAAGGATCTGCATTTCCAATGTGAACCCCACCGCCATGCTTTCGGCTGAGTTGCCTTATCGGGATGAAATTAATGCATGTCTCACTTTTTCCAGCACAGCTAATAAAAGATGTGGTGAAACAGAAACAGTTGCTGCAGGGGATGACTTAATTTGTGCCTTTGCCCTGCCTTATTTGAGGAATTTTACCTGCAGGGGCTAAGGAAGATAACCTTACACCTTTGTTCTTGCCACAAAAAGTCTGCTAGGGAAGAAAAGTTGAAGTAGATGCATAGCATGTTTTGATTGACCACACAACACGCTTTTCATTTGCAATTATTTCTGGAATTTGATTTATATATCTGCATCGATGCACACACATAGCAGAGGACAAATATGAACAACCACAAAAGCATGTATGTGTCACTCTGGCCAGTCTAATGAAAGAAAGCATTACAATGTCACAAGGCAATTCCAATCAGTTTGTACAGTACATGGTTGCAAGGGCACAATGCTATTTTCATCATTGTGACCAAGTTGCAACAGCTTGCAGGCACCCAGGGATGCCTATTTGTCGTCTCTGTATCTCTGTGTGTTTCTACTTTCCCCTCATATTGTACACAGTATGTATGTTTTTGTGTGTATGTGTACATTGGGAAGTACAGAGTGAGCTATATATGGCACACTCTCGGTCACGTGATCAGGATGCCTAATACGGAACAATTGGCAACCCATTGTCTCTTCATAAGAATATATTTGGAGATTTTTTTTTCTTTCTTTCATCATAATTCATGGCCAGATTCAGCCTGTTTTTTTTTTAAACTCAGACTTTGTTTTCCTAACTTCTCCTTCCACATCAAATTTAGTCTCCTTCTGCTCCGTTTTCAGACAGTGGACAGAATTTTGAGCTCATATCCATTTATTTCCACCATATCACTGGAAAGCATAAATAAGCATTCTAATTCCAATAAACTTGCTGCACATATCTCTTCAGTTTGCCTGGGCCCTTTACCTTTAGACTCGCAGGGGTTCTCAACCTTGGCAACTTTAAGGCTTGTGGATTTCAACTCCCAGAATTCCTCAGCCAGCTTTAGAGACTGTCGAAATCTGTGTGTTTTCAGGGAAGGAAACATAGGCATTAAGTCCTAAAGGATTCAGTGGCACATACTCCTAAGCACGTTTGCCTAGAAGCAGCTGAAATTAATGCTGGAAACTCATACACACACTCCGCTTTGGTTTAGCCAGTTTTCACAGGGATTTCTTTAAGCTGAACTTTGCGAAAGATGCCGTATTCGAGTTATCTTTGGAAAAGAAAAAAGGCAGGGGAAGTTTGGAGATATTGTGAAGTAAGTTAGCAGTGAAGGATTTCTCTGGGGAAAGACCTGGCCTGCCCACCTGGCATAACCAAAGGCCTTGCGACTTCTCATGTATGCATCAGATACTCCATTCACCTCCTGCATGGGGGTAACTAAAGTTGAGCCCTCGCTGCTGTTAAACATACCTCTTTGTGCTACTGCAGAGTTACTGGCCTGGTTTCATAGCTGATGATATAAGGCCCCCAACAGGTATTAATTAACATTCTCATCTCCTATTTTCCTTTTCTTGCACAGGGGAAGTTATTCAGACCCCGCTGATTGAAAACTTTTGAAGGCATTTCAGATCACTGGTTTCTGGGTCCCCATCCTGCTCTTTCCAAGGGGGTGGAGCGAAAACATTCCTTAATTCCCAAGGAAGTGCCAACTACTCTGGCAAAATGAGATGTTGAATGATACATCCAAGGCAAAAAGAGCAGCAGCGAAACCAAACCTTTAAGTCAGGTGTTACATTTTCACAGCACAATTCTTAAGTATCTTCAGATATCACTGTATAAATGAAGGGGGGGGGCTTCCATAAAGCTCCCTGCCATACTTAAAAGTTCCATTGAAAATAATACTGAATAACTAACTGTCACACATGTATCATATGTGAAGCCATTTATAGAGACTCTAGAAAAAACTTTGTCTAGGTCAGTGGTTCTCAACCTGTGGGTCAGGACCCCATTTGGGGTCGAACGACCATTTCACGGGGGTCGCCAAACAACGTAGTCTGCCATTTTTTCCCCCTTTTCCTTAGCTTTGCTACTTCCTTTTATTCTATTGGCTTTTGAAAACCAATAGAATAGACCACGGGTCGGCAACCCGCGGCTCCGGAGCCGCATGCGGCTCTTTGAGCCACCTCCTGCGGCTCCGGAGCCTTCTCCGCCATTTTCATAGAGAGAGAGACAGACAGAGACAGAGAGGCACTTGTGCTTCCCTTCTCTCTATCTCTCTCTCTCTCACACACATGCAGATTTGCCCCTTGCTCCCGATTGGCCCTGCAGCCGGATGCCCTGCCCCCTGGTGGCCAGGAAGGGCCTTTCCGGGGCTGGCCCAGTCCGAGGTGCATGTGGCCAGAGAGCCGCGCGGGGAAGCCCCAGGATCGATGCTGGGAGTGGCCCAGCAGAGCCTCCGTTGAAAGGGCCAGCCCTCCCGCAAGCTGCGGCCCTAGTGGGCCAAGCAGGAGCAGACCCGGAGGTGGAGGGTGAGTGGGGAGGAGGGAGGGGGCTTACCTGCACCAGGCGGAGGGGCAGCCGAGCCGGCCTCGTGTCTCCCTGGGCTGGGCAGCAGGCCTGGCGGGGCCAGCGGCCGGCAGGGGCATTGGTTCCTGCCCTTCCCCGGGCCAGGCGGTAGGCCCAGCGGGGGCAGCAGCCGGTGGGGGCATCGGTTCCTGCCCCTCCCCGGGCCGCTGAGCCAGCCTCGCGTCTTCCCGGGCTGGGCGGCAGTGGCGGCCGGCAGAGGCATTGGTTTTTGGCCGTCCCCGGGCCGCTGAGCTGACCTCGCATCTTCCCGAGCTGGGCGGCAGGGGCGTTGGTTTGTAGCCGTCCCCGGGCCGCTGAGCCGGCCTCGTGTCTCCCCGGGTGGCAGACGGCGGGGATATTGGTTTCTGGCCGTTCCCGGGGCGCTGAGCCTGCCTCGCGCCTCCCCGGGCTGGGCGGCAGTGGCGGCCGGCAGGGGCATTGGTTTTTGGCCGTCCCCGGGGGGCTGAGCCAGCCTCGCATCTTCCCGGGCCGTGCGGCAGGCGGCGGGGGCATTGGTTTGTAGCCGTCCCCGGGCCGCTGAGCCGGCCTCGTGTCTCCCTGGGCGGCAGATGGCGGGGATATTGGTTTCTGGCTGTCCCCGGGGCGCTGAGCCTGCCTCGCGCCTCCCCGGGCTGGGCGGCAGTGGCAGCCGGCAGGGGCATTGGTTTTTGGCCGTCCCCAGGGCGCTGAGCCAGCCTCGCATCTTCCCCGGCCGTGCGGCAGGCGGCGGGGGCATTGGTTTGTAGCCATCCCCAGGCCGCTGAGCAAGCCTCGCATCTTCCCGGGCTGGGCGGCAGTGGCGGCCGGCAGGGGCATTGGGTTTTGGCCGTCCCCGGGCCACTGAGCCAGCCTTGCATCTTCCCGGGCCGTGCGGCAGGCGGCGGGGGCATTGGTTTGTAGCCGTCCCCGGGCCGCTGAGCCAGCCTTGTTTTTTCCCGGGCCAGGCAGCAAGTGGCGGGGACATTTGTTTGTAGCCGTCCCCGGGGCGCTGAGCCTGCCTCGCGTCTCCCCGGGCTGGGCGGCAGTGGCGGCCGGCAGGGGCATTGGATTTTGGCCGTCCCCGGGGCGCTGAGCCTGCCTCGCGTCTCCCCGGGCTGGGCGGCAGTGCGGCCGACAGGGGCATTGGGTTTTGGCCGTCCCCGGGGCGCTGAGCCTGCCTTGTGTTTCCCCAGGCCAGGCAGCAAGCCCGGTGGGCAGTGGGGGCATCGGTTCCTGCTCGTCCCCGGGCCGCTGAGCCGGTCAAATCAACGGACGTGGAGGTACTGCAGCTGGCTTTTTGATTCGCCGCAGACCTCCATTGACTTCCATGGGGATTCTTGGCAATGAATGGGGCTGATTGAAATCGCTTCAAGAAGCAAGCTGCAGAGACACAGAGAGCTGCAAATGATCTCCACAGGAGATGCAGCAAGGGCAGGAGACGAGAAAGAGTCCGCTATGTCTGTGCACAAGCCCCGAAAGCTTTCTTCCTCTCCCTGCCTTTCTTGCTGGCCCTCTGATGTAAGCATCTGCTGGGTTTCCTCAACCTCCCCCCCCCCCGTTTTATTTTAATCCCACCATCGCCTCCCTCTTTCGCAAAGTTGACATTCCTAGGACTCGTAGCTCGCTTCGCTCCTGGAGTCACTTGGCAAAGTTTGAAGGAGAGGCTGCCTGCTCCCACCTCCCACGGAGCAGAACTGCTGCTTCCTCACCTCCCAGCGAAAGAACCCCAGAGAGCTGGAAGGCGTCCTTTCTCCCACTTTCCGCTTCCCATCCTCCCTTTTCCAAGCACCCCTCCCAGAGCAAACCAGAAGCCTCAACTCCAGCCTCCTGCAGCAGGCTGAGATAGGCGAGCCCGAGCGACCGTCTTCTGCTGCCTCAGAACATTCACTGCAGCAGCTCTTTCTCTCCGTCGGCTTCCTCCTCCGCTCCCTGGGAACCTTCGCGCCAAAAGGCAGCAAGAAGAAAGTCCCAGAGAGGGAGAGCGCGGGGTGAGGGGAGAGCAGTCTTTTCCGAAGGGAAGAGAAGCCAGGACTGCAGAGCCGTTCATACCAGAGCTGGATGGGGGGCAGGGCAGGCGCACGTTTCGCCTTAAGCTCCTCTCTTCAATCAAGCCCTGTGTTCTATGCGCGTGCGCGCGCATGTGCGCGCGCACATTTTGCGGCTCCCAGGATTTTTTTTTTGTGAGGGAAATGGATCCAAGTGGCTCTTTCACTGTTGCAGGTTGCTGACCCCTGGAATAGACTCTCTTGAATAGAGTCTAATTCTATTGGCTTTCAAAAGCCAATAGGAATTGTCCAGGCTGTCTCTGCCCTGCTGAGCCCACCAAAAGTTCCATTCTGCAAATAGTGCTGCACCAGTTGAGTAGTCCTCGACTTACGACCGGTTGAGTAGTCCTCAACTTACGACTGGTTGGGGGTCGCGGCATTAAAAAGGTTGAGAACCACTGGTCTAGGTCAATGGTGACAAAGCCTATGGCACGCGTGCCAGAGGCAGCACTCAGAGCCCTCTCTGTGGGCACACATGCAGTTGCCCCAGCCTCACCTCCCTCCACGATCCCCACCTCACCAGCAGCCCCCCTGGAGGAGAGTCGTCCCCGAG